AAACATATTTGCTGGTTTAGTCACTGTGCTAATACGAAGCAGATACCAAATCACTCATAGTCCAAATTAAATCTGGAATAAAAGTGCATCAGCCTAAATTACTATACTACCTTGGCACGAGGTGGAATTATCAAAATGAACTTCAATCGAATCAAGATAATAATAGTATCATTTACACTAAAGTATATAAGTATTGAAAATACGGTTCGAAAAGAAATCCCATGCGGATATACGCGAAAAAAAACCCAATGCACAGAGGAATATAAAGAGTTAATGCATTTGCGATCGATTCTTAGCCATTTTGCTCAGTATCTCCAACTACTTAACATAATTACCGCTCAGACCGTCAGGAGGTATTCGGGAATAAATGAATAGAGATAAACAAAACTGAGTCAGACAACAGTTCTGAGAAAAAGGTAATCCAGCCGGCTGAACTGATTCTCAGCAATACTAGAACTAACTGGATAGCTAAACTACCAGCTTTTAAATAGCTGCTCCTCCAGCCCCTTATCTGTAACTTCCAACTCATCCTTTATAGCCAGTATTCTCATAAATACGCAGGGTAGCAAATTGAAGTTAGTCGACTAAAACATAAGAATATTTTTTAAATCAGGACGACAATGATGGTGTTGTTCTCTCAATCGAATGATTTGCTTGTCAAGGTTTTGTCTTTCTGAATCACATCTTCAGCACGTACTTGAAATACATGCTCATGATTTTGCCAAGAAAGGTGATGACTTCTACTTTGGTGACTAATCTTATGTAATGAATGTAGTCTTCCAGGATTACTCGTGCATCATATTCGAAACAGAATAGAGTAAATTGGTAACATAAGACCACATACAAGTAAAATACACGAACAAGCCGTAAAGAGCCTACTTCCTTTAACGAATGTGAAGTATCTGTCAATGAGTTCACTAAGAACAGCTTTACATCCTTAAGAACGACCTTGGCTCGTAATCTAGTGCCGTTTCACAGACTATTGTTTGAAAGCGATTAAGATACAGAATCATAATGTTGTTACGTCTTTTTTAAGAGCTATGGCAAATCCTAAAATATTAGATTCCGGTATATCTGAACGAATAAAAATGATATTTATCCTGTCATCTTTAAAGCTATTTTACTGTCCAGGAACGAATTCAAAGATAACCAAACCAACGATGGACTCAAATAGACCATATTACCATTATTCGTCTTTAGAAAGGGTCGAAAGAGGACTGTCACTCATTCTGGAATACCTGTCTGGACTACGATCATGCTCTAATACGAGCACGCGTTTGCTTGCGCTTCACTGGACGCAAAAAAACCACTTTAATAAGACATAGAATCAAACCCAGTGACGAGGAAACCAAAAATAGATTCCAGGAAAAGCTGAGGTCACACTTAAATAGTTCTGAAAACGAGGCTTACCCAGATGTTGCTTGGAAAGATATACAAACAGTAGTGACATCTATTTGTGATTTATAATAAAGGGTCACAAAACACCAATGGATTTCTTCTAAGTCTAGTTCACTGATGAGTTCTAGTAAACTCATCCCATCAGGCTCTGAACACGGTGAAGAGCGAAAGCAAATCAGATGTAGGTTAAACAAAAGTCTAAGGAACGACCATGAGCAGTGGTGAGCAACGAAAACAAAAGAGATGGAAAACGCGGGGGCTGTATGTGACACCCGACAGCTTTTCACACTAATGAAAGAAACTGGAATTAATAAGTCAAGTGTGAGACTATCTCGGAAAAAGATGACACATGTCTGCTCTCAGCCTAGACGTTTAGAACGATGGCGAAACACTTTGAGGGGCAGTTCAACTTACCTTCAGCTACTCTACAACTACCCACCATTCTCAGACAGCGTGAATGGAACATTGAAGTAGGTGATCCGACTCTATCTGAGGTCCAGAAGTTTATAGCTAATCTGAAACGAGGAAGAGCAGCTGGTTCATATGGATTGGCCCCAGCGGTCTTTACGTAGGCTGGTTCAGTTTTAGCGTCTAGGTGGACTAATATTTTTAACTAAAATCAGGGAGTTGGACGTAATCACATCTGACTGGTCGCAATAACTGATTGTCGCAATATATAAGAAGGGGTCAAAATCATCCTGTGGTAACCATAGAGGGATTAGTTTAACTAATATAGCATCTAAAATACTAGCCTCAATAATAATCAGGCGCCTAAGTAAGAGTGGTGAAATGCAAACACGAGAAAATTAGGCTGACTCTAGGCGTTCTCGTCCACTGAATTCTCGGGCATTGATCTCGTACCACGAGGTCCAAGATGACATAGTCCTGTTTGGTGAAGATGTTGATAAAATTCAGAGTCTTTTGGTAGCACTGAGCAACAATGCCAAGAAGTTTGAAATGTGTTTTCCCCCTCTAAATACAAGTAGTTTCTTCAGGACTGGCCTGCGTCAACACCTGAACTAAGGATAGGGAGTGAAGAAGTCGAACGCGTCAACAAGCTCACTTATCTGATCAGCTCTAATGGGTTGGTCTGACAAAATCTTTGCACTGATTCAGATAGCTCGTTTGGTTTTTGCAAAATTACGTCACATACGACGGTGAGGTATCCATCTGTCAATTAAGAGACGAATATACTGCGCAGCAGTTCGTTCTGTTCTACTTTATGGCTGAGAAACGGTCATTAAGAGTGGAAGATACTCGTAAGCTACTAGTATTTGATGACAGATGTCCTAGAAATATTGCTCGCATCTGCTAAGATCACAGGATAAGTAATAGTGAGGTTAGACGCAGGGTATTAGGGAATGATGGTAAATCAGTTGATGAGGTTGTGAATCTTCATCGACTGAGATGGTTGGGCCACGTGCTGCGCATGCCTGAACACCGATTACCAAGACGCGCAATGCTAACCGATGTTGGGGATGGTTGGAAGAAAGTTAGGGGTGGCCAAACCAAAGCGTGTCATCAGTGCTTGAAGTCACTAACTTCTAGTCTGAGCCATGCTGGTAGATGCAGACTCTCTCGTTGGGGTTTGCGTGACTATCGTAACCCATGGTTGGAGACTGTGGGTGACATGGCTCAAAATCGATCACAGTGACGTAGGTATATACACTCATTGTCTGCCCATAAACCGTGAGATTAAAATTATTTTATATCTTTCTTTCTACAAACTAATTCTTTCTCCCTGTGCAATCTTTCTTTTATATATAACCACCATTGAATTAAGTACTTCTATGAATTTGGTGTTTATCATGTTGTAGTAATGAGGTATGGCAACTTGGACTGATGCACATATGTGCCTGGTCCTATGTCGTAGCTGACTGTACCCGATTACGATAGAAGCTATGTTAATTTGACTGGTACAATACGAACGGGTCATTAAAATATAGCTGTGATGTATTATGTCACTAATGACCTCGGGTAGCTTAACAGATTTTTACACATCAGCGAAAGAAATCGTTAAAGAGCCACCCAGTTTGGATTGAACATCAGAAGTACTCGTAAGAGTATTTGGACCAAAATTATCATGGAATAACTTTATACTAAGACTGGAACTCGTACTAAAAAGAGAGCAACAACAATATCGACTAATGTCTTTTGAGGGTAGCTTGACATCCAAATAAAGACAAATGAAACATGTAGATCGGACTATGAGTGTATAATGTAATTATATGCTGTTGCTTAACTTGGCGGAGGTTAACCATCACCATTGGAACTTTGTTTCTTTTAAGGCATCTGGTTAAATGTATTATTCTGGGATGAAACTGAAATAGAGAAGCATGAACCTCTTTGGTGATTTTATTTCTCAGACTTTCGAAGTCGCCCACCACAAATGTGTCTTACTCTTCACCATGCATGCACTATACCCTTAGGTATTTGATGACATAAAAAGTGACCTACTTATCAGGCTAAATGAAGGTTTTGTCTATTGGAGATAAGGAGTGGTGCGAAAAAACATTTTATTCTCTATTAAGACTAAATCCCCACGTGTAAGATTTATAATCAGTAAAACTTGCTCTCCCTTAATATTCCCCATAATATTACAAGACGGGTTACCATGCTTCTGCAATCTAGATATTTTTACCTGTGTATATAATGAAAAGGCTTCTCTCATCAAATATCAGCAATTATAAATAGTATTTTCAAAAATTTACAGATACTTAGTAGATGTTGAACTTAACGTTAGTTGATGGGACACCACCTAGATTCATCGACTAACAAACAGGAATAGGTATATTTAGAAACTAGGAACTCTATTCAACTTCAATTGGCTTCAGTCATAAGAAACATAGAACGTGCTTTTAATTAAGGATATATGAAAATCGAAGTAAACCATATCAATTAACAATAGAACGAACACTTACTTCTTTAAATAAAAGTGAAAACTTGGCAATTGTATACTCCATCATACATGAGAATAAATTGTCACATCATAATGTCAAATTAAAATATGGTTTTAAATCAAAATGAACAACAACAAAAACAAAATATGTAGGACATGTGAAGAAAGTATGTGACAAATTGAGACAAGATTTAGGAAGAATGAAAGTAGAAAAGAGGAGCAATGCATCGATGTATTCTCTTCTTATAAGCTATAAGCATTAGATTAGATTCATTGAATTTTATGCCAATTGTATATGTTCTCCTTCATAGTAGATACAACAAGTCTTAAAGCTTTAAACCAGACTATACATTTACGTAAAATAAAAAAAGAGAAAGAGAAGAAACCTAACAGTTTAAAAATAAGTATAACTGTTTACACTAAAATTCCTAAATGATCATTCACAATATGACTGTTCAATAATAATAATAATCATAATCATAACAATCATAATGTGAGGATGTTCTTTGAATATGCAGTTCCAATACAAATTTGTCAATGGTTCAGCCATGAGTAGTGCCATTTTTTTTTATAAAAAAAATACTAGAATAGAGAACAAGTTGACATTGTTTAAGGCAATAATACAAACAATCTGGATAAGAGAGAAAGAAAGAAGCTAAAAGGAATTAGAATTTGTTTTCTTTTCACTTATTATTGCCTATAATTATACAGTGCTAATATAAATTTCAGGTGATGCTATTTCAGCAGTGGATATTTCCATGTGATTTTCAATTAAAGATAATTCCATTAGATTAAGTTGTTTAGTTATCACAGATGAATCCAATGTATCATTTATATTTATTTGTGGATGTGATTGTAATAATTGTAATTGAAGTGAACTTGATTTTATTTTAGATACTTCTTCTTTTCTATCTATGTCATTCATATCATTATTACGATTGTCCTTATCATCATCATCTTCTTCATCAGTGGTTACATGTCCATTGGATATAATATTTGGATAGTCAATATCGGGTGAAAGACATTCTTGTAAACCTATATCATTTGTTACAGCATATGGCATACAACCACGCTAAGGACAAAGAAAAAAGGGAAGTAATAAAGGAGAATGAAATATGGCTTAAAAAGTTTTCTACGTTCACTTCTTAAAAAAGATGTCATTATGTATACGTTGACTGAAGTGGTTACAACATGTATTACCCATGACCAACCATGGTCTACCTTGATATGCGACATTCGCCGGTGTCAGCCAGTCAGCTACAACGTAGGACCAGGCACATATATGCATTGGTCCAAGTTGCCATACCTCATTAACACAACAAGATGAGCACCGGATTCATAAAAGTAAATAATTCAGTGGTGGTTATATATAAAAGAAAGATTGCATATAAGGATATAGTACAGGAAGAAAGGATCAGTTCGTAGAAAGAAAGATATGAAGCGATTTTAATCTATTAGTTTAAAGAAAGACAGAGAGCGTATACACCGATGCCACTGTGATCGATTCTGAGCTATGTCACCCACAGTCTCCAACCACTGGTTACGATAGTTATGTGGACCCCAACCGAGTAGTTTGCATCTCCCAACATGGCTCAGACTAGAAGTTAGTGACTTCAAGCACTGATGCCAGCTATCGGTTTATCCGCCCCTAACTTTCTTCGCCGATATAGGAATAAATTTACGGGTGATCAAAGAAAGATAAGGGTATCAGTCAGTGAAATTATTGATTAAGTTGGCATACGCACACCACTTGGTTGGAGTCTGTGAGAGTACTGTAACCAATGGTTGAAAATATTGGATGACATTAACTTATAATCGGTAGTATTAAAGAAGATATACTCGCTTTCCGTCTTCACTAGATTCTTGATATTAAAGTAATACCATGTCCTTTTTATTCCACGAATTCACTGCATTAAAATCAAATTGTTTACATTCAAATTTGCTGATGTGGTGTGAAAAATTGGAACGATGTACATGTGTGTTCGGTTTTACGTCATTTACGACGCGTGGTATCCGAGTTTGATAATGATGTTCAAGAGTTCTTATACGCAAGTTCCCAATCGACTACTGAATGAGAAGACTCAGAGTGAAGAAGGAAGTTTATTAAGCTAAAGAGGATTAAATTTAAAAGCATTCATATATATATATATATATATATATATATATATATAGAGAGAGAGAGAGAGAGAGAGAGATTAGATGGTGGTTGGAGGTAGTCAACAGGAAACCCTGGACCCGGGTTTCGTGCTACTTGGCACTCGTCAGCAAGGTGTACCTGTAATCTTGAGGGAACTGGTGCTCCCTGGCGGATTCGATCTCGTGTCACCCAGCTTCACAGTCAGAGACGTTACCACGGCTCGGATAGCTCAGTGGTAACGTCTCTGACTGTGAAGCTGGGTGACACGAGATCGAATCCGCCAGGGAGCACCAGTTCCCTCAAGATTACAGGTACACCTTGCTGACGAGTGCCAAGTAGCACGAAACCCGGGTCCAGGGTTTCCTGTTGACTACCTCCAACCACCATCTAATCTCAATACATAGTGCCCGCAGTGTCGAGTCACCTAGACTGGTGGCCACATTGCGACATGATCGATAGCATTCGATCTGCACTAATAAGGACTAGACAAGCATGAGATTGATCACCACCCAGTGATCAATCAATTGTGATATATATATATATATATATATATATATATATATATACCTTAGAAAATGAAACCATTTCTTGGCCAATAACATGCACTTATCGTTGGAAGGTTTTTGATTAGTTCATTGTATCAGATTTATTGTCACCCTTTTAATCAACTAACAATCTAAAAAAATATACTGCTAAATATCAGTGACCCCCAAATCCCCTGGTTGAGGGTGGCGAGATTTTGCTCTCCCTTTCAAAATGCTCTCATTCAATTGACCATGTATATGCAGCTACTGCAAGGGAAATCCTAATCACTGCCTACTCGCGGTGTAGTGTTGTTTACGAAATTGAGGGGACGGAAAGCAAATATCCGGTGCTTTCAACGGTTTAGTGAACACAGGGGATCCACCTAGGGGAATTGGAATGCCGTGATTCCAAACCAATGGTACACATCGGCTCCAAGATCCTGAGGGAACAAAAGGCGTATGAATCTATTGTTGGTTACCGGCTACTATGGGAATGAATCTCCCAACGTTGCTCCACTGCATTGCGGATTAGACCTCTACGTCAAGGGCTCGAGGAGCGGCTCCCTGAGGAAACCACGTGCTTCAGTTCGGGCGCTTGGGCAGAATTTCAGCCCCCATACAAATCAAATGGTTTGTGTTGCGAGCATATATTTTGTGCCTCCTTGGACCAATGTTTACACGTTTAAATAAGCAGTAAATAAATTAATTTACAAACCAAAATCATATTTATTCAACTTTGGGTTACACATTTCGTATGCGTGTGAGGGACTTTTTATACCATTATCCTTTTGTCTAAATCGAAGTAGATAACGCTCGAGATTTAATATTATAAATGAATTATTACTAAAAACCGATTATATTAACGAACTCTGCGTAACCACTTTTCACAACTCAGTAGATCACACTGGTCCAATTGAACAATGTAAATCAATGCAACTAGCAACGACAAACTCAGTCACAAGAACTCTAATTAAATCACTGTTCAAATTTATAATTCGAATCCAATCTTTACAATTGACTGATCATTGAGAAGTGATCAATATCATGTATGTCAGGTCCTTCTTAGTGTAGATTGAATCCTATCAACCAAGTTGCAATGTGGCCACTAGTCTAGGTGACTCGACATTGCGTGCACAATGTTGAGATAAGATGGTGGTTGGAGGTAGTCAACAGGAAACCTTGAACCTAAGTTTCGTGCTACCTGGCACTCGTCAGCAAGGTGTATCTGTAGTCTTGTGGGAACTGATGGTCCCTGACGGATTCGATCCCGTGTCACTCAGCTTCATAGTCCAATCTGACTTAACACGTATATAAGTAAACGAAATGACACAATCACATAATTTAACTTCCTTGTTCGTCGTCAATCAATAAGATTTAACAGATACATTAAAGACAACTACCTTGTATCCAAGAACACCATATATCAATAGTCATGTAACTTCGATAACACAATTCAAAAATAAACTCTTCTTTATTCTAGATTCATTTAATTCTTTCTACTAGTTGTGATTTATCTAAATTAGACAACCTAAATTATACAATTATTGTCCGAAATCTTATAATATTACAATCTCCCGTCGTTGCCTATTAGTGATCTCAATTTAAAACATTTCAAGTAGAAGGTACTTTATAATCACACTGAGAGAAATTAACAGAATTATATATTTATCTATCAATAAAAGATGTAAATAAATCATGAATTTAAGTGTAAACAATACTGGTACGTAATAAATGGTTCAATAATAATAATAGCGAAGAACAGTTATATAATATACCCTTGTGGGTCAGGGTAATTTTACATTGGTTTTCAGGAGAACCAGACACCATCCGGACTTTCACGTGACAACCCAAACAGTACAGCTCAACCCCGTTTAGCAGGGGAATCAGACACCGTATAGGCTTCAACGCTACAATCTGAATATTATAGCTCAATCCTGTGGCACAACCACACAGGTACCAAGCACCCTGGTGGACCAAATAACGAAGAACATGTCAAGATAAATAAAGTCTGTACATAAATACCCATATACATTTCTGAACAAAACCTACTTGATAATTAAAGCCTAAATATAGAAAATTCTCTTTGTTTTTTTCTTTTCATTTATACAATACAATACACATCACTAACATATACAATAGTATGTATAAACTAATAAATTTAGAAATCGCTAGAATACACACCACCTACTGATGTATGATAATTTTAATAAGTGTACTACTTGTAAAAGTTAATAAAACCCGTTAATCAGTAGGTTGTATATATAAATATGATACAGGTTTGCAACTCAGGTGGATACTTTCGGTGGTGTCATGTTTTCTGTGTCACGGGATTTAGTTGTAAAGCTTTCATTATCATTCTGCACGTTTATCTAAAACTCCGTTAGTCAGTAGGTTATATATATCACTATAAAGAGAAGACTCATTACCGACTCAATATTTTAATGTTTTATTTAGAAGTAAACCAATGTAAAAAAAAATCCACACCTAAAGATCAGTTAGTCAGTCAGTCAGCTACAAGGTAGGGTCAGGCACATATATGCATCAGTTCAAATTGCCATACTTCATTACCACAACAAGATAAACACCAAATTCATAGAAGTACTTAATTCAATGGTGGTTATATATAAAAGAAAGATTGCATATAAGGATATGGTACAAGAAGAAAGGATTAATTCGTAGAAAGAAAGGCATAAAACAATTTTGATCTCACGGTTTATGGACAGACAATGAGTGTATACACCTACATCATTGTGATCGATTCTGAGCCATGTCAGCCACAGTTTCTAACCATTGGTTACGATAGTCACGCAAACCCCAACCAGATAGTCTGCATCTACCAACATGGTTCAGACTAGAAGTTAGTGACTTCAAGCACTGATGACACGTTTTGGTTTGGCCGCCCCTAACTTTCTTCCAACCATCCCCAATACTAATCAATATTGCGCGTCGTGGTAATCGGTGATGATAATTTAGTAAATATATCGAAAACACAAACAAATCCGTCATTAATCCACAACATAATTATCATCATCACCATCGTCTTCACTATATCACATCGCATAACAGATAGCAGTAAAATTCCGAAGATGAAAGATAACAAGGTTGGAAAAACACAACATAACTATAAGTAGTAAGAAATAGTCAGGAAATTGAGATAAAGCAAATATCATAAAAGAGTGGAGTGAAAAAAAAACGAGAAAAGACATCACAGAGTAGTAAAGTGTTTGCAAGTTAAAAGAGAACTACACGTCAAGATTCTGGAATATCCTTCCAAAAGATGATCGGATGGAATATCTTCGGCTAGTTCCGAACTTCTCAAAGCTTCCTTGAGTTTACCCGGAGGGGGGCAGTAAAGTATTAGAAAAATAGTTGGTATCAAATAGTCCTAGTAGATAATAATCAATGCACAAAGTGCCACAAATGTATGTTAGCCCATGTTGTCATACCACAGCAACACGATCACATGAAATTAACAAGATGAATAGATAGAAGAGATTGAAACAGCTCTGATCGTAATGATCACAAGAAAGATTAAACACCGAGAACGTGATTAGAAAGCATAAGATGAAAAGGTATGTATGAAAATATGCTAAAAGAAAGTGAATGAATCTGTGCTCTTGTGATTTATTATGAATTATGTCATTTAACATTTCCAATCAGTGACCACATTTATTACACATATCCCAACTAAATAGTTTCAATATATCAACACATTAAAGTCCAATAGTTAATGACATTAAATCACATATGTGTTTGGTGGCCCTTAACTTTCCTCTAAACTACTTCTCTACATCAAATAACATTGCCTATTTCTAAAAATACTGTTTAATACCTCTTAAATATATTCCATGTGAACTGTTGGATATTAAAAACTCTGTATGTATGAATATTTTTCTAAAGTTAACAATACTAAAAATAGATTGAAAAGTAAAGTAATATTTAATGGAGACCATACTAATCTGAAGCTCGTGTTCGTTATGGATACGTCTCATTTAAGGTAACATTGGGAACAGTTGCCTTAAACTAGTACAGTTCTCACTCAATAACTCACCGGATATAAAACCCAATGTGAATATTACTTACACATCACGCTAATCTTTATCAGAACTATAACCTTGCGCTCATTAGTGAGTGACCGGAATAACTTCCTTGATTTTTTGTGAGGATTCGTCACCGGTGAAGTTCGACTATGTCACGCAGGAAGAAGTTATCACTAGTACCATAGGATGGTCATCATGATATGTCCAGAAGTCATTGAAGTTGGAAATATGTACGACTGGATATCAAACTTGCAGTCTATTTGTTAAACATTCATCCAGAGATTAGAAGATTCCAGATTAGATCTTAGGTATGCACTACTTGTAATTTCTATACCACAATGAAATAGCTATCTGGCGTTTTCTGTTTCTCAGTGGCAATTTAACTGAGATTAGCTCATGATAGGTAATAATTATTGTTCAGCGAATCAACATATAAATAATAAGCAATATTTTGTACCTCGTAACAGATGTGTGAAAAAGTGCTACACAGTTATATGTGTTCTCACAAGACTAATTGTAAATAACAAACTATGCTTGAAACAATATTCTGTGAACAATAATCACGTGCAGGAATGATTTAACCATTAGATTCCTAATTTTTAAGTAGCAAATTTAGAGCTTTGATTAATCACTGAGCAGTGTTTGTCTAATCTGGACCGGAGAATCGAATTCTATCAATCAAGTTGCAAGTGGTCACAAGTCTAAGTGACTAAGCATTCCTCCTAGTATAATTTAGTATTACATCCCTGGAGTCAGTTAGGAGGATATTCTAGATTTAGGCCTTGTGGTCGTTGGTAGTACTCGTCAGAAAGGTGTATGAATCATACTATGAAAGAAAAATTTAGAATAATACAATTCCCAAAAATGACAAGAAATGGTGATGATTTACACATACCAAATCTTTCGCATATATTGATGCACCATAATCCAATAGTACTTCAACAATATCAGCATGACACTGTTGTGCAGCCCAATGTAAAGCTGTCCAGTGATTCTAGTAAGTAAAAACAGAACAAGAGAATAACTTATGCATTATAAGTGGAAAAAACCATTGTTATTTTGAAAGTGATTTGTAAAAACACGGGGTTCGAAATATTTCGTCTTTTACAATCCATAACTATCATCATTCTACTATCACAATGATGTATTACCTAATCACATGACACACTCGTACTTAATAGTACAACTATTCGATTGAGAGCCATATGTAAGACAGAACACGAGACTGTTACAACAAAAGCACAAAGAGCAAACGTATATATCGTTGTGTAGATATTTGTAATGTACCAGATATGTTTTTCTTCACCCACTGATTAATCACAAGTTACTTGAGATAAAAAAATATCACTTTTTTTCTATTTTACAGTAAAAAAAAATATTGTTTAGTGCTTTTGTAAACATTCATATCCGGACACTTTCCCTACAGTATTCATTCACAATGTGCAGCGATCCAGTGGGTAATTCAATTAGTATTCTGGATCGATTTGATAACTCATCAAAATAACGGATATATGTGCGACAAACGAAATGATTTAAAAAGTTTGAGTTCAGACATTTCGGTGTTAAAAGCTTATTAGTTATACAATAATGCATTCCCAATATAATTATACTGTCAGTCCCCTTATGTAATACCGCACAAATAAATACTTCATGCTTGATGGCTTTCTCAATCTGTGTGATACAACGAATATCGTTTTCCTTACTTAGTTAGTAAGAAGAGAACGTAGAAACAATTTGGCAAGTTTGTTTATACACTTTAGCCAGAAACTAAGTAATAATATATATATATATATATACGTTTCGTGATTACAATAATATTGCTGAATATAAAAGGACGCATCACTCGATATATCAAGGGTGAGTAATAAACGAGGAGTGACACTTGTGCTGTTAAAAGTATGAAGGCAGTTTTTACTACCCGATTGCCCGCACCGTGGAAGGGTTCTTCTGGAGGTACCTGAAAAGGAAATTGGATTAGAGTTGGTCTTAGTGACCTGAGAGCGTGACCCCAGTACCCAACAAACAACTGCTTGAGACCGGTCACACACGACCTTTTCGTGTTAGCAACTTACTTGTTGGGGACTTGGCGCCAGAAACGGAAATCCGTAGAATAAGGTGAGGTGTGCATTTTTAGGGTCGACCTTTTCTAACCCTACCCTTCCTTGTAGGAAGGCAGCATCGGTGTTATGCTAGTTGCCTAAAGGAAACACCTTACTACAATCACACCTCTGTACATTCAGCAGTAAGACTTCACTCTCGGACCTTGGGTTTGCTGCTTTTAGTCTTGCCACTCTTCAACCAACCTGTCTGGCGTGGTAGGACCTTGAGGAACGATTGTTCGAACCAGTGTAGCCCGACTGGTTCATCACGATAAGCAAGCCTGGTCATCACGTAAAGGTAGCAGCAACGGTTGGGAGGATTGACACTAAGGTCAATCTGCTGTATACATGTAGCTATCTGAATTATCCTGGAATCACCCCAAAACACACATGACTTGCAAGTATTATTACGTGAGTTTTCGATAGGACAGCTTCTGGAGTCACTTTATATAATCCTTTTGCATAAATGAATTAATCAAACGTTCAGAGTATGAATAACAGCTGAACAAGACTGCGGATCATACCATATAGGTAGGAAACGAATTCACAGATCATTCGTTGAAAATACCTTATTTAGTGATATGTAGAATAATGAAAGTATATTGCTAACCATTTCTAATGTTCAGTAGTTTTCTAATTAAGATTGACTAATTTTCAAATGAAAAACATGAGATAAAGATTATGGAATTTTTAGCGAACAAATACTTGGTGGATTATAGCTGTTACCTTGTCAGTAACGGAGACATTAACGCCACGATCCAACAGTGCTTTGACAAGTTCCAAATGTCCATGATAGCAGGCAAATAGAAGTGGGGTAAAGTCAGCCTGAAAATAAATTTTATCAAAATCATGTTTTCATTCTACAATCACAAATCAAATGTATTCCTTGGATTAGTTCTCATTACGAAATCATATCAGAAGGGGTTTTGTGGAGATTCATCAACCAATAAACAATCATTTCGTCCTAATTTGCGACTTCTTAGCAATCCTCAGCCATAAATTCATACATATGTTAGAATTGAGAACTTCCAGATCACAACTTAGAACGAAACGGCTGTTTAATGCTTCTTATCTTTGGACGGTTTTTTGGTTGATGGCAGTTCATGATTAAAACTGAAGCTTATTTGGAGACACTTAATAAATATTTCATTCCTTCCAATAACTATATTAATTTACATTATAAAATTACTTACTTCTGAATCCAAGTCATTGTGAGAACATGCTCTTAAACTCATATTATCCAAATCAATAGAAGCTCCACAATTATCTATCATAGTTTCATTTAAATTTAGATTGTCATCAATAGTAGTAGAAGTAGTAGTAGTAATGGGATCAGGCTTGCAATCAGTTATACTGACTAATGCTTCTCGTTTATATTTATTCATACATTGAAGAAGTAATTCGAAATTTTTAAGAATTCGAACAGAATCTTTGGATTTAGTTCGGCATAATTCATGTAGTGGAATTCTCCCATTCTACAGATTTGAAAATAAACAACTACTTTGAAATAAAGTATGAAAAAGGATCTTATTAAGACGTTTGAAAATATTTCAATGGCTGAGGAATTCTTAAACTATTCACTTCAGGTCTGTTGTGAGATATCAGCTCACTGAAGACAATGGTATACGGTGGCTCAACTTCGTGGGTTGGTTGAAGTTAGACATTAACACTGTTGGATGCCGGTTCAGTGGTCTAGTTGGTTAAGCGCCTGGCGCGAGACTAGTAGATCCTGGGTTCGAATCTCGAGCGGGTGCGGGATCGTGGATGAGCACTGCTGAGGAGTCCCATACTAGGATGAAGCGGCCGTTCAGTGCTTCCAGGTTTTCCATGGTGGTCTAGCTTCAATTGACTCATGATTTCAATCTGTGAAATATTCACTTTGTTCAAAACACAACTGGAACCAGAATGAATGTGGTTTTTAGGCATATGCACAAATGGTCGACTCGATTTTGAAAATAAAGATTACTTAAAATAGAAATATTGATGATCATTTTGATAAGGAATATCCATTTCTAAGTGAAATATAATCAAATGTTCATCTTGAAAAGTAAAACGGATTGGATGTATATGAGGTCATAAGAACATAACGACTGAAACTACAATGTTGAAAATTAGTTATGTATAACTGATAATACACTAATTAAAGTGTATGGTCTAATTTATCCTCAATGCTATGAAAGGAATGAATGCGGTTTTCGTTTCCGGATTTCTCTCATCTCACGAAGAGTTCCAGCCAATACAGCAAAACCTAGCCACTAGGACAGGTAAGCCCGAATATCACATGACGGTAACAACCACGTTTCAAGTGTTTTCATAATATTTACATTGCGAAACTTGTTACATGAAGTGCCAGGAAGTCAATCATGTGCACAAAATTGAATTAACTACCTTTAAACTATTATTAGGACTGTTATATAGCGTTTGGACACTTCCACTCACGCGTTCACCTCTTCAAAATAATAACTGGGAATGAAAATATTACAATCTCCACAAATCCCCATAGGAACTAAATCGCTTTACACGCAAAGTGAACCACGTCAGGAGACTATATCTAAAAAATAATTCATGTAAAATGAGTCATATATTGGTAGACATTTGAGAATGAGCTATGGAGAAGGTATCAAATAAATTAACTCAACTTGTTAAGTGAACTCCTTTAGTAATGAATAGAAATTGCAACATGAAATAAGAAAAAGGTTATCATTTCAACATTACGTAATACCTTATTCTTCAAAAATGGACTTGAACCATTGGCCAGTAGCATTTCAGCAATAGATGGATGATTCCAATAGACAGCATTGAATAACGGTGTCCAACCATTTTTATTGACTATATCAACATTTACACCCGCAGATAAAAGCATTTGAGTATTGATTTCATTGCCTGACATAGCAGCATGGTGCAAAGCTGTATTACCTGCCTAGAATATCAATTACAAAGTGAACGTATATATACTTACGGAATCAAGTGCATTAACATCTGCTCCTGCTCGAATAACCATCTGTAAAATACTAGGTTTCCCTTGGGAGCAGACATGTATAGGATAGCATTCGTACTAGACAAATAATATTTTAAGAAGAAACGTACCACATAGGACCTCCAATTAACATCCACACCAGCTTCGATCAACCTCTTAGCAGCTCCTTCACGTCCGAAACTGCAAGCGATCCAGAATTGTTCCTGTTTAGATATATAACGCATGGTAAGAATTCGATGCACGTTGATTTTGATAAACCTCGGGTCAACATCTACTTAAAACAGCTCTCAGAAAAATTTGTAACCTATAAGGCAATATACACAAGGGTCAACATTATCTAAACTCGAGTGGAAAACGTTTTAAAATCTGAAAACAAGTGAGACGCGGAAATTATGGATTTGAAGATCTCTAATCGATGCATCTAAATAGGAAGATGAAAATCTACAACCGTTTATTTGGAGAACTATATTAAAAAGAAGGATCAGTCAGTCAACCAGCTACAAAGTAGGATCAGGCACATATATGCATCAGTCCAAGTTGCCATACTTCATTACTACAACAGGATAAACACCAAATTCATAGAAGTACTTAATTCAATGGTGGTTATATATAAAAGAAAGATTGCATATAAGGATATAGTACAGGAAGAAAGGATTAATTCGTAGAAAGAAAGATATAAAGCAATTTTGATCTCACGGTTTATGGGCAGACAGTGAGTGTATACACCTACGCTATGTTACCCACAGTCTCCAACCATTGGTTACGATAGTAACGCGGACCCCAACCAGATAGTCTGCATCTACCAACATGGTTCAGACTAGAAGTTAGTGACTCCAAGCACTGATGACACGTTTTGGTTTGGCCGCCCCTAACTTTCTTCCAACCATCCCCAACACCGGTTAGCGCCTCCAAATGCCCTGGTACGGCGTATATAGCCTCTGCCGGGGAAGTCCTACTCACTGCCTTCTTGCACCACGGGTGTTGTTTACGAAAATGAGAGGACGAAAAGCGAATGTCCGGCGCTTTAACCGGATTCCAAACCAATGGTGCACATGGGCTCCAGTATCCTGCGGGAACAAATGGCGTATGAACCAATCGTTGGTCACCGGCTGCCATGGGACTGCATCTCCTTACGATGCTCCACTGCCTTGTGGATCAGACCATCAAGTCAAAGGCTCGGGGAGTGGCCACCTAATAAAACCATCTGCTTCGGTTTGGGCACCCGGGCAGTATCACAGCCCCCACACGTATCGAATGAGATTTGTGCGGCGCATATGTATTTGGTGCCTCTTTGTACCAATATCTATGTGTTGAAATAAAATAAAACACCGGTAAGCATTGCGCGTCGTGGTAATCCGTGTTCGGGCATATGCAACACATGGCCCAACAACCTCATCAACTAACCTACCAACATTCCCTAATAGCCTACGTCTAACCTCACTATCACTTACCCGGTGATCCCAGCACATGGAGCAACATTTCTAAGAATGATGGTCTGGTCAGTCAGTCAGAACAACGTAGAACTTCGTACGTACGTACGTACGTACAAACATCAGTTCGAGTTACCACACCATATTAGCACAGAGATGCAGTTGTCGATTCAAATCCCGTAGTGGTAGAGGTAGTAAGAGTATAAGCACTAATCGGAAACATTAGGGTTTGAAGATGTTATTCAAGGAATATAATCCAGTGAAACAAATTTGCAAAGGGAAAAAAAGGGACATGAATAATTTAGGAGATTACAATTTAGGAGAACACGAAGAGTGGATGCACCTACGCCATTGCAAACGATTTTGAGACATGTCATTCAGGGTCTCTAACCATCGGTTGCTATCATCTCGTGGTCCCCAACCACGTAGTCCACACCTACCAACATGACTCAGTTCACTTGTCAGTGACTTCATGGACTTGTGCCATGTTTTGGTCTGAACACCCCTAGCTTTCTTCCAATCTATTCCTATACCATAGAGCATAGCACGTCGAGGCAGTCGGTGTTTGGGCATACGTAACAAGTGTCCAAGCCATCTCAACTGATCAAGTTTCACCACATCATCAATTGATTTGCCATCCTTACCTAGTACCCGTTTCCTAACAACTGCATTACTTACTCGATGGTCCCAGGATATACGAGCAATATTCCGAAGACACTTATGATCGAAAACTAGTAACCTACGAATATCCTCTACTCTTACGGGCCATGTTTCACTGCCATAAAATAGGACAGAACGAACTGCTGTACAGTAAACACGTCCTTTGGTTGATAGACGGATATCTCGCCTATTCCATAAATGACGCAAGTTGGCAAAAGCTAGTCGAGCCTTCTGTATCCCTGCTGAGATTTTGTCACACACCAGACCACAAGGGCTGATGAGACTTCCAAGATAAGTGAAGCGGTCGACACGCTCAACTACTTCACTCCCTATCATTAGTTCGGGTGCCAATGCAACCCAATCCTGAAGCAACATCTTACATTTCGAGAGGGAGAATCGCATCCCGAACATGCATGCGTTGTTGCTTAGAGTGGTCAGAAGACTGCATTTTGTCAGCGTCTTCACCAAATAAAACTATGTCATCTGTATATTCTAAGTCAACTGGTGAATATCCCGTTAGAAGTTCAACCCCTGGAAATTTAGATCAGAAAAGTGTTATTTCTAAAAGCATGTCAACGACAAAGTTAAACAAGAAGGGAGAGAGTGGACAACCCTGACGAACACCACTTGAGGTAATCAATTCTGATGACAGTTCGCCATAAGCTCTCACTCTACCAGTTGTGTTCGAATAGAGAGCCTTTAAAAGGTTAATGTACTTCTTTGGTACTATTTTCAGTGACAAACACTGCCACAGAACCTCACAATCAACCGAGTCAAATGCCGGCTTAAAGTCGAGGAATACTACGATTGTGGGGCGTCTAAATTTGTGTCTGTGTTCTAGGACATCACTTAGTGTGAATATCTGGTCTATACAACCACGTCCAGGTCGAAAACCAGCCTGATTTTCTCTAGTCTGTTCTTCACGAGCTTTGGTCAGGCGTCGAAGTATTATTGAAGCTAATATTTTAGACACTATATTAGTCAAACTGATTCCTCTGTGATCGTCACAAGAGGACTTTTGTCCTTTCTTATAGACTGGCACAATCAGTGATTGAGACCAGTCAGATGGGATTACGTTTCGTTCCCAAAATCTACCTAAGACCTCAGTTAATCTCACTGCTAATACTGGACCACCATCCTTAAAAATCTCAGGAGTAAACCTATCAGGGCCTGCTTCTCTCCCTCGCTTCAGATTTCCTATGGCTTTTTCAACGTCGTAAAGAGTCGGAGGACCTACATTAACTCACCATTCAGGTTGACTGGAGATCGTGGTAAACCGGAGTGTGACTGAAGGCCAGTTGAACTGATCCCTAGAGTGTTCTGCCCATTGATCTAATCTCCTGAGATTGTTTCGCTAACAGTCGGGTTCCTAATACCGGTTTCCTTAACAAGTCTGAACAATTGTCTGCTATTACCTATTGCCGCTGCCTTTTCCATCTCTCTTGCTTTCGCTACCCACCACTGTTCGCGATCATTGCGTAGGCTTCTTTTCAGCTTGTGCTTAAGCTGACTCCGCTCTTCGTTATGTTCAGAGACAGATGGAATGAGTTTTCGAGCATCTATCAGTGCGGTAGATGCTGCTGAGATCCAGTGTTGCTCCCTAACCTTGTGGTTTACCGTAATAGCAGATATCACTGCTGCTGTCACTTTGCGCACTATGCAATGTAAAAACGGCCGAAAAATTTTACAGATCAAGACGAATCGGAGATAATCGACGTATTGGAATACATTATCAATTAGCTACACCTGAGATTGTTATTCACTATGGTTTCACGAATAGTAATTGACATGACAACGTACAGTAAGTGAATATAATGTGCAAGGTGTCGACAACTTTTTTCATTTCATTATCATAATTAAAGCCACTTACGAAGTCACAGTATATTGAGTATATTTCTCCAGGACCGAATGGTCCTGAGTTACTTGATGAGAATAGCACTATCAGGTGTAAAGTATTATAAGGAAAATGATGAGCAGTAATCCACAAATAAGAATTAAAAAGGGTGTAAGTTTAATGATGAAGACTAATGTTTTAATAACATTCTAGTTTATTGGGGACTGAAACCAAATAAAAATTTGGCTTCAACTTTGATCTTAATAATTAACTTAGATTCTAGGTTCCGAAGTTTCTTAATACTTCTTCAATGCTCTCAAAACCTGATTTTTTCTGCTACCATTGGTCCTGTTACTACTTCAACTTCCCTTGCATTTGGCTTGATAATTTTATCCAGATGTGCTTATGTGATGAGGCAAAATAAACTGATGAATATATATATCCCAACAAGTAGGAAAATTGTATTTCTGAAATTTCGTAACCTAATATAAGCCACTCCTTTAAAGTAAATATGTAATTAAATTAACACAAGCTTAAATGGTACAAAGGAAACAAAGCGGAATATTCTTAATGCAATAAAAATTATAATAGGCCTCTGTATTTCAACGTCAATTTATCCTTGGTCAAGGTGAATTTACATAACCTGTCACTGTATTAATTCGTGCGTCAGAATGTGAATATGGAAGATGTATTTATTTGTAATATGAAGTAGTGGGTTGCATAAATGTACCAGGTTCTACGTTCACAACTGAAGATCTCTGCATGTTGCAGATAAATAGTTTGAACATAAATACGAGTACTGAATAATCTCGAGAACGGTTACATGTAAGTCAAGAGCTCGTTACAGATCTAACATGTCTTTGAGAAAAATCCTAAGGTTTTAAGCACATTCACCTTCCGATACACAAGCTTAAACAGTGTTTTTCGACCATTAAGTGAAAAATGACATGACATCCTGTGATACCATTAAACCTTTGCAGAGATTCAGACGAAACATACCCCCCATTTTTCATCTTTAGATAAAACGCTATACTTCATACGATCATTTTGTCAAAGTATTTTAAAGTGAATATTAACAAACCAATTACTGTCTAATATGACAGGTCTTGTCATACGACTGCTACAGATAATTAATACCATTAGCCGTCCTTGTGGGTATACAGAAACACAAATATTGACGCCTTTTGCAGGAAACATATAATTAAGAACAAATGCTCGATGTTCGCAAGTGTATATATTACAGGAAACCTTCAACCATAGTTGATAAGATGTAACGAATTGGTTATTTAGAAAGACCAAG